TGAATAAACTATATACATATATATATATTTAGATAGGGTCTCAGTCTGTCTCCCAGGCTGGAGTACAGTGGCACAACCACAGTTCAATGTAGCCTTGACCTCCTGGGCTCAAAGAAACTGTATATTGATTCAGTTCCTTCATGGGGCTTTTCAAACTTTCAAGTTGTTCCACTGGAGTTCAGAATCTGCTTAAGCACTTTTTTTTTTTTTTTTTTTTTTGAGACACTGTCTCACTCGTTTGCCCAGGCTGAGTGTAGTGGCACAATCACAGCTCACTGCAGCCTTGACCTCCTGGGCTCAAGCAATCCTCCCAACTCAGCCTCCTGAGTAGCTGGGGCTGTTACAGGTAGTTAAATAGGCATATGTAGGCAGGACAGGGTTCTTCTTCTACACCCATTAGAAATATCAGGTGATGGTTCAACAATTCTCATACTCCCTCTCTAAAAATGACAATTTGGCAGCCAGTGACAGGGAAGGACAATCTCCTGATGATCCACAGCTATTAACATTAAAGTGTTAGGCCGGGTGCTGTGGCTCATGCCTGTAATCCCAGGACTTTGGGTGGCTAAGACAGGCGGATTGCTTGAGGTTAGGAGTTTGAGAACAGCCTAGCCGACATGACAAAACCCTGCCTCTACTAAAAATACCAAAAAATTAGCCAGGCACGGTGGTGCACACCTGCAATCCCAGCTCCTCAGGAGGCTGAGGCACAAGAATCACTTGAACCTAAAGGCAGAGTTTACAGTGAGTCAAGATGGCACCACTGCACTCCAGCCTGGGCGAAGGAGTAAAATTCTGTCTCAAAAAAAAAAGGCTGGGTAGGGTGGTTCATGCCTATAATCTCAGCACTTTGGGAGGCCAAGGCAGGTGGATCACTTGAGGTTAGGAGTTCAAGACCAGCCTGACCCACATGGTGAAACCCCATCTTTACCAAAAAATACAAAAATTATCTGGGCTTAGTGGTATACTCCTGTAGTCCCAGCTACTCAGGAGGCTGAGGTGGGAGAATTGCTTGAACCTGGGAGGCAGAGATTGCAGTGAGCCAAGACTGTGCAACTGCACTCCAGCCTAGGTGACAGAGTGACATTATGTCTTAAAAATGAAACAAACAACAACAACAACAACAACAACAACAAAACACATTAAAGTGTTAACCGAATGCAGATGCCAGGGAGAAGCAACTTCCTGGGCATCTTTTCAGCAATGCTGAGTGTAGTGGCACAATCACAGCTCACCACAGCCTTGACCACATGGACTCAAACAATCCTCCCAACTCAGAGGATTAAGAGACAAAATGGTGAAGTATGACCTCCCATAGACACCCCACTGGAAAAGAAAACCTCAGATGAGCATGGATACAACTGCCTAAACACACTGCATATGCTCACTTCCCCAGGGTAAGGAGGGCACTGCACATGCAGACAGCCCACCCTAAGGGAAGAATCATGGGAAAGCAGCAAGCCAATTGTTACTGTTTGGCTCTGTGTCCCCACCCAAATCTCATCTTGTAGCTCCCATAATTCCCACCAGTTGTGGGAGGGACCTGGTGGGAGATGACTGAATCATGAGGACGGATATTTCCTGTTCTGTTCTCATGACAGTGAATGGGTCTCACAAGATCTGATGGTTTTAAAACTTAGAGTTTTTTTGTTTGTTTGTTTTTGTTTTTTGAGACGGAGTTTCACTCTTGTTACCCAGGCTGGAATGCAATGGCGCGATCTCGGCTCACCGCAACCTCCGCCTCCTGGGTTCAGGCAATTCTCCTGCCTCAGCCTCCTGAGTAGCTGGGATTACAGGCACGCGCCATCATGCCCAGCTAATTTTTTGTATTTTTAGTAGAGACGGGGTTTCACAATGTTGACCAGGATGGTCTCGATCTCTTGACCTCGTGATCCACCCGCCTCGGCCTCCCAAAGTGCTGGGATTACACGCTTGAGCCACCGCGCCCGGCTAAAACTTAGAGTTTTAAACTCTGCACAAGCTCTCTCATACTGCCATCATGTAAAAAGTGCCTTTCCCCTTCCACCATGAGTGTGAGGCCTCCTCAGCCATGTGCAACTTAAACCTCTTTCTTTTTTAAGTTTCCCAGTCTTGGGTATGTTTTTATCAGCATGAAAATGAACTAATATGGTAAATTGGTACTGGTAGAGTGGGACGTTGCTGAAAATGTACCCAAAAATGGGCCATGCACTGTGGCTCACACCTGTAATCCTAGCACTTTGGGAGGCCAAGGCAGGAGAATCATTTGAGGTCAGGGGTTCCAGACCAGCCTGGCCAACATGGTGAAACCCCATCTCTACTAAAAAATTCAAAAAAATGAGCCAGGCATGGTGGTGGGCACCTGTAATCCCAGCTACTGGGAGACTGAGGCAGGAGAATCGCTTGAACCCAGGAGGCAGAGATTTCAGTGAGCCAAGACTGCACCACTGCACTCCAGCCTGGGTGATTGAGCTAGACTCCATCTCAAAAAAAAAAAAGAGAGAGATACCCAAAAAACGTGGAAGTGACTTTAGAACTGGGTAATGGGCAGAGGTTGAAAGAGTTTGGAGAGCTCAAAAGAAGACAGGAAAATGTAGGAAAGTTTGGAACTTTGTAAAGACTTCTTGAATGGCTTTGGCAAAAATGCTGATAGTGATATGAGCAATAAGGTCCAGGCTGAGGTGGTCCCAGGTGGAGATGAGGAACTTGGGAACTGGAGCAAGGGTGACTCTTGTTATGTTTTAGCAAACAGATTGGCAGCATTTTGTCCTTGCCATGGAGATTTGTGGAACTTTGAACTTGAGAGAGATGATTTAGGGTATCTGGTGGAAGAAATTTCTAAGCAGCAACACATTCAAGAGATTATTTGCATACTGTTAAAGGTATTCAGTTTCAAAGGGGGAGCAGAGCATAAAAGTTCAGAAAATTTGCAGCCTGACAATGCAATAGAAAAAAAATCCTGTTTTCTGAGGAGAAATTCAAGCTGGCTGCATAAATTTGCATAAGTAATGAGGAGCTGAATGTTAATCACCAAGACAATGGGAATGTCTTCAGGGCATGTCAGAGACCTTTGTGGCAGCCCCTCCCATCACAGGCCCAGAGGCCTAGGAGGAAAAAGTGATTTTGTGAGCTAGGCACAGGGTCTGTGAGCTGTGTGCAGCCTAGGGACTTAACGCCCTGAGTCTCAGCTCTCCATCCATGGCTGATATGGGCAAATGTAGAGTTTGGGCCATGGCTTCAGAGGGGGCAAGCCTCAAGCCTTAGCAGCTTCCACGTGGTATTGAACCTACAAGTGCACAGAAGTCAAGAATTGAAGTTTGGGAGCCTCCACCTAGATTTCAGAAGATATATGGAAATACCTGGATGCCCAGGCAGAAGTTTGCTGTAGAGGCGGGATCCTCATGGAGAACCTCTGCTAGGGCAGTGCAGAAGTAAAACGTGTGGTGGGATCCCCCAAACAGAGTCCCTACTGGGGTACCGCCTCGTGGAGCTAAGAGAAGAGGGCCACTCTCCTCCAGACCCCAGAATGGTGGCTCCACTGCCAGCTTCCACTGTGCACCTGGGAATGCTGCAGACATTCGATGCCAGCCCACGAAGGCAGCCGGGACAGAGGCTGTACCCTGTAAAGCCACAGGGGCAGAGCCACCCAAGACTATGGGAACCACCTCTTGCATCGGTATGACCTGGATGTGAGACACGGTGTCAAAGGAGATCATTTTGGAGCCTTAAGATTTGACTGCCTCGCTGGATTTTGGACTTGCATGGGGCCTGTAGCCCCTTTGTTTTGGCCAATTTCTCCCATTTGGAATGGCTGTATTTACCCAATGCAAGTACTGCCATTGTATCTAGGAAATAACTCAATTGCTTTTGATTTTACAGGCTCATCGGTGGAAGGGACTTGCCTGGTCTTGGATGACACTTTGGACCGTGGACTTTCAAGTTAATGCTAAGATGAGTTAAGACTTTGGGGGACTGTTGGGAAGTCATGATTGGTTTTGAAATGTGAAGATATAAGATTTGGAAAGGCTGGGGCAGAATGATATGCTTTAGCTCTGTGACCCCACCCAAATCTCATTTTGTAGCTCCCGTAATTCCCACGTGTGGGAGAGACCTGGTGGGAGTTGATCCAGTCATGGCTGTGGGTCTTTCCTCTGCTGTTCTCATGATAGTGAATGGGTCTCATGAGGTCCGATGGTTTTAAAAATGAGAATTTCTCTGCACAAGCTCTCTCTTGCCGGTGCCATGTAAGAAGTGCCTTTCACTTTCTGCCATGATTGTGAGCCCTCCCCTCACAGTTTATGGAACTGTAACCATAAACCTCTTTCTTTTGTAAATTGCCCAGTCTCAGGTATGTCTTTATCAGCAGCATGAAAACAGACTAATACACCTATGAAGTCCTAGGATCAAGGTTAAATGCCTCACTTGGCCTTCAGGTGCCCACCTGGATCTCTTCCAAGTGAATTTTCCTTTCTTTCCTTCTAAAGCCTTTAAAATAAACTTCCACTCCTGCTCTGAAACTCATCTCTGTCTCTTCTGCCTTATGCTCCTCAGCTGAATTCTTTCTTCTGAGGAGACATGACGTTTCTTCAGACCCATACAAAGTCACTGCCAGTAACTCAGATACTTTCTGTTATATGTGAATTTTCAGCGCCGCAAAAGTAGCATTCAAATATAAATTTAATTTTCTCAGCAAGGCAACTTTACTTTCACAGAAAGGGTGCTCCCATTAGCCATCTTGCCATGAGAGAATCCTGAACAAAGGAGGCAGGGCCATTTATATCTAACGCATCTGCCCTGCTTCTGTGTCCTGATTCCATTGGCTGGCACTGGATTTCACAGTCTAGGCTGCACACAGTAGGCTAACAACTTAAAACTTTCCTAGGTGGTCATGCTGCCTGCTCTCCAGCCAGGGCTCTGGGCTCCATCATCTGCTCAGCAGCAGCCTCCCCTCCGACCAGCCCGGCAGGACCCAGGGGACCGAACCGAGCCCCCAGCTCTGGCCAGGCCATGAGCATGGCGGCATGATGAATCCCTGCCTTGACCACTGCAAGTCACCGCCACAGACCAGGAGGAGCTGTAGCACCAGGCAACCCTGCCCTGGCCTTGGATCCGATGCCGTAGGGCAGTATGCACCTTAAGATCCTGAAGAAAAGGCACCACATGTTAAGGTGATGTTTCAAAAGGACATGTGAGGGTGCATCAGGAAAATCACGCAGCCATCAGGACACAGGCTCTGGGACGTCGAGCATCATTCTCTCCTGGCTGAAAATGACAACTATGACTCTTCATCGTCCTCCTTCTCTGAGGCTGGTGTGGCTGACAGGGTCTGGTTCATTCTTGACGGCTGCAGCATGATCTGTGCCGTCATGACATGGCTTCTGGTCACCTATGCAGACTTCATGGTGACTTTTTTCATGCCTTCCAAAGATTTCTGGTACTCTGTGGTCAATGGGGTCATCTTTTTTTTTCAGATGATCAATTTGTATTTATTATAGGACCAGAGTATATAGAATTGAGTGGCCTTGGAGGCAGCTCAGGGCATTGAACTTAGCACTTGATTCTTTTTTTTTTTTTAATTGTACTTTAGGTTCTGGGGTACATGTGCCGATTATTCAGGATTGTTGCATAGGTACATAAATGGCAATGTAGTTTGCTGCCTCCATCCCTCCATCACCTATATCTGGCATTTCTCAGTGGGGTCATATTTAACTGCTTGGCTATGCTCGCCCTGTTGTCCCACCTGAGAACCATGCTCACTGATCCCTGGGAAGTACTCAAAGGAAACGCTTCAAAAGAATACATGGAGAGCCTGCAGCTGAAGCCCAGGAGGTGATTTACAAGTGCCCCAAGTGCTGCTATATTAAACCAGAGTATACTGGTCTAATACCACCACTGCAGTATTTGCAAAAGATGTATTCAGAAAATGGATTATCACTGCCCGTGGGAGAACAACTGTGTAGGAAAAAAGAATCAAAGGTTTTTTTGTGCTCTTCACTGTGTATATAGCTCTGTCTTCAGTCAATGCTCTGATCCTCTGTGGATTGCAGTTTATCTCCTGTGTCCAAGGCAGTGGACTAAATGCAGTGAGTTTTTACCTCCAATGACTGTAATTCTGTTGATCTTCCTGTGCCTTAAAAGTCTTCTGTTTTTCACTTTCACTGCAGTTATGTTTGGCACCCACATCCACTCTATAAGCAACGATGAGACGGAAATTGAGCGATTGAAAAGTGAGAAGCCCACATGGGAGTGGAGGCTGCGATGGGAAGGGATGAAGTCTGTGCTTGGGGGATCCCCCCTCACTCCTCTGGATGAATACCTTTGTCAGCTTCCACTTTAGGTGACTGCCCACGAGACCCAGAAAAGGTGGCCCAGAGTTCTCAGTGTGAGGCCTGGCTTGTCCGGCTGGAACTTGCTCACAGACTTCTACTCATTTATTTGGGGTCTGAAGGGGATCAACAGCTCATCTGTGACCAACAGGGCAACCGGAACCTATACAAACCAACTACTTGCAGCAAGCAGAGTTTTATATATTTCTAGTCACAGATGGCAGATTCTCCACACTGGAAGAGGTGCTCAGTCCCCACCTACAACAACGACGGAAAGGTGTGTGGCCATGCAAAGAAGTCAAATGTCATGGCCTTCCTGCGGAGTTAGGATTTTTGTTAAGAATACTTCACGTTTTCTAAGTTGTCTGGGTTATTACATGGGTTGTTCAAATCCTGTGTACTGAGCTGCTGTTTCCAATCATGAAGGAAAACAGTCAATCCAGTGAACAGGGATTCTCCGAGCAGTCATTTCAGGGGGCTGCTGCTGACCCCCCACTCAGCAGTGCACTCTCCGGACCACAGCAGGGCATTTACATAGTAAGACGTTTTGGTGTCTGTTAGCTCTGATGCTTTGCACTGAAGTCGCAAAAGATCTGTGCACTGAACAGTGAAGGTGACTTCTGGCACACTCCCCACTGCCCTGGAAGAGACACCCTTTGACCCTCTCAGCAATTCTCTGTGTGCACGTGTCTGTGCATGTGTATGCATGTGTGTCTCAAAACTGCCAGTGTTGTTTAGGTAGTGTAACATTTCCCAGCTGTGTACAGAAAACAAGCTATCTTTTAGAAACTGATGTTTCAGGGAAGAGGGGAGAGAGGCCGCGGGGTCCTCCCCGTGGTTACTATGAATGTATTGCTATCTTAGGACATCTCGATCCAAAGAACAGTCGTTCCTGTGCAGTCCTTCGTTACCCTCCTGCTTTAATTTCTTAAAGAAATCTTGAGTGCTTGAGGGCCTTGGAACTGATTTTTTGTTGTTGTTGTTCCAGCCAAATTAGCAGTGTCTAAATAGCACCTGGGGAAGGGTAGAGCCTCAGTGACCTGATCCATTGGGCAGCTCGATGCTGTTGGTGTATGGGGCAGGAGAGGCATCCCAATTGGAGAGGCAGGGCCCAGCCCTTGGGCACCTCTGGGAAGGTGAGGGGATTGTGAGGCAGCCAGCCCCTGGCAAGGGCAACTGTGTCACCAGCAGGCAGCGCTCAGGCTGGTAATGGTCAGGATGGCGTCCTCTTGTTGGACATTTTTGTTAGCTTTTATGTTTTCTTCTCTACCCACGGCACAGGTGATAAAATAGGATCCTTGGTGTGCAGCTTAAACTTATGCCAGAAAGCCAACAGCTCGCCTCCATGGGGACTTGCCTTAACCTTGCCTGATTTGTACATTTTTTGCTGGATGCATCAAGAAGCAATCTGTGACAAAGTCCGAGGATCTTCCTTTAAGCATGCCCTCCATGCTAAGAGAAGTTGGCATCTCCCTCCTGGGAACTGTTTTGCCTTTCTGCTCATCTGCGAACTGTGTTTTGTTTTTAATTACTCTGTACCCCATCTGAATCAGGGCTTCTACTGCTGCTGATGCAAAGCCACAAAGGGACCTATCTGAGCCACCGTCCTAGCCAAGAGCAAACCTGCAGGGGATTTGGAAGTGGATTCAGTCACCGCGGAAGCCTGTGCGCCATTAGGGGAAGAAGTGCGTCACAGCCAGAGGGACAAAGCATAGATTGTGCGTGATCCTGGAGATGCGAGTTGCCAGAGACTGTTTTGCGTATTCATTTGCACATGGTTGTCTGGGTTGGACATGTGTATGGGCTTCAGTGTGAGGCTTTCAATATGTATATACTGTTATAAATAAAAAAATTATCCAAGTGGCTGAATCCTGTGAAACTTGGCAAGTGTGTGCAAATTAAATATACTTGACTGTTCAATCTCTTCTTTCAATGTAACTTTTCTATGAAATAATGCATTGACAGTTCTAAAAAAAAAAAACAAACAAACAACAAAAAAGCAACTTTCCTAAAGATGTAAAGGCAGAGGAGAACAAAGGAAAAGAGAAAGTAACTTGGAGGATGCTTAGAGAAGCGATAACGTTTCCAGATAAGGAAGGCAAATAAGCTATAATCTAAGATTTGCCTGGGCTTGTCTAGGCATCTCAGGGCAAATATCATATACTTATTTCTTCATTATAACTAACAGCTACTTTATTAGCAAAAGCTTTAAAATAAATTAACCTTTGAAGAAACTATTATTTATTCATAATGAACTAAGAGGAAAGCTTTGAAGAGGAACTTTTTATTTATTCTTATTTCCTAAACCTTCCATCAGTAACAGGACTACAGGGATGCACAGCCATGACCAGATAATTTGTTTTTAGTTTCCAGGGTGGTCTCAAACCTTTAGACTCAAGTGATCCTCTCGCTTTAGCTTCCCAAAGGGCTGGGATTATAGGTGTGAGCCACCATGCCTGGCCAAGCACTTTTTAAATAAAATTCTTATGATTCTAACATCAGAGATCCTACCTATCTTAAAAACTTTATGATTTTAACATCAGAAATTCTATCTATCGGAACACTGGGGATGCAAATCTTGTGCTATGTAACTTTTGGTTATGTGGAAGTGAGTCAAAATGCAGCTTGATTAATGCTTAATTATTACTGTATTCTGTCCATTATTCCTGCAAACCCTGTGACAACCACTTCATTAAGTGTGTGAGTGGGTGGGGGGGGGACACCTTCACAAAAGGAAATGTATGGTTTATTCTCAGGCAGATAGGATAGAGCAGAGAGCTCATATTACATCTGCTTTTTATTAATTGTCTTCAGCTCAAAATAATCCTTCCACCAGAGAGACACATTTTGGGATGGTATATTTTGATCTCCTATATACTCTACAGATCACTCCTGCAGCCACTGTGATGCTGATGATGGGGCTCAGGATACACCATCCAAAAATATGATCATAGGAGACTAAAATACATCACCCTAAAATGTGTGTGTGTGTGTGTGTGAGAGAGAGAGAGAGAGAGAGAGACAGACAGACAGAAAGAGAGGCTGGAATTTTAACCCTTGAGTTATTCCCGCCCCATTCATGTTCTCGTCAATGAGAGGAGTCCTTTCAGACTTCCTCCGGAGTGATTGATCTTTGCCTCTGATACTGGATTGGCTACTTGGTCCACAGCTCTGAGATACAGAGCCCCCTCCTCCCAGAGCTTTTGATGGTGTTTTTGGGACAAAGGGGCTTCACCTGCCTTTCCCTATCTAGCCGGCGGCGGGAAATCCAAAGAACTTTATATTCCAAACCCCTCTGGTTCCCTGACGGAGGTGTGGATTTTGGATCGAGGTGTGGACGAGGTGCTCAAAGGAAATCCCTGCATTTGAAACCATGACCCTCGTGAACCTGGGAAGAGTTTTTCTTTAACACAGCCCCTCATAAATACCATCTCTGTTTCACTGTTCATCTCAGGAATTTTACCCATCTTATTATCCTTTCTTTCTCTTATTCCTTTGCTGATGATTCTATCAGCATTTAAAATGTCAGGCGTCTCCCGACATAACAGTAATAATAACGAAGAAAATTTTCCTGGACTCCACATCCAGGGACTGAGTACACTATGCCTTTTCTTTCTTTTCGTTTTTTGTTTGTTTGTTTGTTTGTTTTGTGAGGAAATCTCGCTCTGTTCCCCAGGCTGGAGTGCAGTGGTGTTATCTCGCCTCACTGCAGCCTCTGCCCGCCAGGTTCAAAGTATTCACCTGTCTCAGCCTCCCGAGTAGCTGGACTTACACACGTGTGCCACCACACCCCGCTAATTTTTGTATTTTTAGTAGAGACTGGGTTTCACCATATTGGCCGGGCTAGTCTCGAACTCCTGACCTCGTGATCTGACCGTTTCAGCCTCCCAAAATGCTGGGATTACAGGCATGAGCCACCCACATCCGGCACTATATCTTTTCTTTAGACAAATTTCATAGAAATGTTTAAACTTGCTGATTCCATCTTTTGCATAATCTCCTCATTCCTTATTCACTCTCATCTGGCTAAAGCCCCCAAACCCCACAATTAAGGTCCTAGTGGCCCTTGTATTGCTAAATCTAGTAAATACTTTTCAGTGTGCTTGCATGTTCTCTAGGCAATATTTGACCCCGTTAGCCCATCCACTTGTCTCTGAAAACACCCTTTCCTTGGTTTCTGTGTCATATTCTGGTTGTTTTCCTCCCATCTCTTTAGCTGCTTAGTTTCAGTCTCTTTTGTGCACTCCTCCTCTCTACCCAAGCCCTATGTCAATAACTCTCAAATCTCTATCTTTGGTCCATTCTTCTTTCTCCTAAACTCCACTCCCATAAAGCCAACTGCCAAATATCCTAAAGCAGACATCATTTCGCTATCTTGAAGAGAGCTCAAAAGCCATGTCTTAACACTATACTTACCATCTCTGCCCTCACTTCATGTACTCCTTTTCACTGTCTGCCCAGGTGCTCAAACCAGACTATTGACTTGTTCCTCTCCTTCTCTCCCAAATTGATCACCAAATTCTGTCATGTCCACCTCTTAAATATCTTTCAAATCTTCCCCCTTTTCTTTGCCTCTGCTGCCACCACTCTTGTCCAAGCCACTAACATCACTTACCTGACCTATTTAGTATTCATTCACCAGCAAATAATTATTGAGTTTCCAATCCTTGCCAAGCACTACTGTAGACACTGAATGTCTAGCAGAGACTCAGATACAAGCGTTCTCTACTTTGTAAGTGACACCTAAATCTTTGAATCCATGCATTGTCTTCCAACTCTTGAAAGAGATGCTGGTACAGAGAAAACGTTCTCTTTTATATAATAAACAGTGCAGACAAATACGTGGCAAATGACATTTGCACCAATGTAGAAAAGAAAACACGTGGTGGAATAAGCTCTGGGGAACCGGAGAGTGGGTGCCTTGAGTACAAAACCACCTCTACTTAGGTCTAACCACTGTTTCCAAGAAGAAATACGAGTCAAGAGAGAGCATTCAGACCTTCTACTTTCTAATTCTAGTTTTTATGTGACATTGTCTTATGGGTTTTTACATATTTCCTTGCTTTTAAATTTTATTTTTCTTTTTATATATACATTTTTTGTAGAGACAAGGTTTCACCATGTTGGCCAGGCTGGTCCGGAATTCTTGAGCTCAGGCAATCCACCTGCCTTGGCCTCCCAAAATGCTGAGATTATAGGCATGAACCTCTAATCATCTCATTCTAGATTAGTCTCTTATAAGACGAAGAAATACCACTTCCTTTGTAACAAGAAAGATTATAGGCTCCTGGCCTAATACTTATTTCTTATAATACCTTACACCCTATATTACAAGCCATTTTTCTATGCCAAAACATATATCTTGAAAATTGTTGGCCAGGCACGGTGGCTCAGGCCTGTAATCCTAGCACTTTGGGAGGCTGAGGTGGGTGGATCACCTGAGGTCAGGAGTTCAAGATCAGCCTGGCCATCAGGTGAAACCCCGTCTTAAAAAAAAAGAAAGAAAGAAAGAAAGAAAATTGCTGTGCTTTTCTTGGAGGTAAGATGTCTTGAACCCTGGAAATATTCTTAATCTAGAATAGGTCAGATCCTAGACATATTGAATAAATTATGTTCTGCTATATTTTCAGAAATACTTCTAGAGATTTTTCACATAAAGAAACTTAGCAAACTTAACAGCATAAAATTTCCTTTACTTGACAAAGATCATATATCAAAAACCTTCATAAAATATTAATAAAAAATTTCAGATATATCTCTTCAAAGAATAGGAACAATAAAAAGACAACCTCTACAACTGCTATTTGTTATAACTACTAGAGGATATTTATTCCTGATTTTTTCCTTCTATGTTTGGGAGAAAACTCATTATTTTGTTATCCCTACCTCACCTTTGTAACATGATAGTAATCAGTCTCTTAGACAAGATCTCTTTTTTAAAATCATTGGAAAAGACTATGCCTACTTTCTTTTATTTTGGTATAAAGTACATACAATATAAACATTCCATTTCAGTCATTTTCAAGCACACAGTTCAATGGCATTAAGTACATTCATGTTCTTGTACAACCATCACTACTATCCATTTCCAGAACTTTTTTATCATCCCATACTGAAAATCCATACCTACTAACAAATAACTGCCCATTTTCCCCTTTCCCCAGTCCCCAGTAAACACTATTCTACTTTCTGTCTTTATGATTTGACTATTCTAGGTACTTCATATAGATGGACTTATACAATATTTGTCCTTTTGTGCCTGGCTTATTTCACTTAGTATATAACGCCTTGAAAGTTTATCCATGTTGTACTGTGTATAAGAACTCGATTCCTTTTCACGACTGAATAATATTCCATTATATGTACATACAGCTTTTAAAATCTTTTCATCTGTTCATGGATATTTGGGTTGTTTCCACCTTTTGGTTATTATTAATAATGCTGCAATGACATTAGAGTACAAGTGTCTGTCTGTGTCTGTGCTTTCAATTCCTTTGAGTATATAACTAGAAGTAGAATGGGTGCATAATATGTTCATTCTGTGTGTGGTTTCTTGAGGAACTGTTAAAACTGTTCTTTGTAGCATCTGCTCCATTTTACATTCACACCATAAATGGACAAGGTTCCAATTTCTATACATCTTTGCCAAAATTTAATTTTTCTGGCTTTTTTTTTTTTTCTCTTTAGAAACAGGAGAAACAGAGACTTGCTTTGTCACCAAGGATGCAGTGCAGTGGTGCAATCATAGCTCACTGCAGCCTCAAACTCCTTGGCTCAAGTGGTCCTCTTGCTTCAGCCTCCCAAGTATCTGGGATGACAGGCACACACCACCACACTTGGCTATTTTTATTCATTTTTAGTAGAGATGG